TTGCTGCTTGTTTGTGGGTCTTTCTGCCTTCAGTCTTGTCTTCAGTAAGTGAAAAGCAGCTCTATTGGGTTGAGATCAGGCGACTGACTTGGCCATTGAAGAATATTCCATTTCTTTGCCTTCAAAAAGTCTTGAGTTGCTTTCACAGTATGTTTAGGGTCATTATCCACCTGCACTGTGAAGCGGCGTCCTATCAGTTCTGTAGCATTTGGCTGAATGTGAGCAGAGAGTAAAGCCCTATACACCTCAGAATCCATCTTGCTACTTCTGTCAGCAGTCACATCATCAATAAACACCAGTGAGTCCGTTCCATTGGCAGCCATACATGCCCATGCCATAACAATGCCTCCACCACGTTTGACACATGATGTGGTATACTTTGGATCATGAGCTGTTCCTTTCTTTCACCATACTTTTCTCTTCCCATCATTCTGGTACAAATTAATCTTAACTGTAAATGTAAACCCTCTGTATTTACATTCATGAAGGCGTCTCTTGATTGTAGATTTTGACAATGACACGCCTACCTTCTCCAGAGTATTCTTGACTTCTGTTGATGTTGTGAAGGAGTTTTTCTTCACCAAGGAAAGGATTCTGTGATCATCCACTTTAGTTGTCTTCCGTGGTCTTGCTGGAAAGCTTTTTGACTGCTACAAAGTGCTGACACTGGAGACTCCTTACATAAATGTTAAATAATTGTCTACTTACAGAAACCTTCAGCATATGAAAGATTAAATAATAAAAATGCTTTGTTAACCATTTTATTATCAGCATTAGGTTATGCGGAGTCCCTGTATAACTTGTTACTATAGAAACAATAACATATTGGAATCAACACCTTCAGATTCAAGAATTCATGAGTGCCGTGGTATAAAGTTTAATAAAAGTCCCTAAATGTAACAGGATATAGTATATTAGGACAACAATATAGTATAAATATACTTCCCTAAACGTAGCACTTTTAAGTCATATAATATACAGTACATGTAAATATAGCTGAACATGTATCTTGTATTTGCCATTCATGTTCTACATGAATCTGTGACATTGCCCCCTGCTAGTTTGGGCTTAGTATCACAGCTTTTGACTGACTTCACACTTTCACACTGTGTCCTGCAATAACCCTGGTACTCTTATACTTGCTAGATCAACAAAAAAGTTCCAGGGAACAGCAGCCGGAGCCAACAATAAGAGCAGCCAGTGTCTGTAACTGATTAGAGATGATAAAATGTCAAGGGACTTGGAGGAATGTGAGACAGCAGTGACGGACGAGCTAGTGTGCACCGAGACAGCGGAGAAAACACTACAGCACAATGCACACACCAAGCTATTCCACCTCATTACGAAAATACGATGGAGCAGCAGAATGTAGAGTCTTCTGATAACACAGTATAAAAATACAGATATGTAATGGATGGCTCTTAAAGGTTTATAGAGAAATGGTGTCCTTGTGTGCTGTTTTATATT